AGGGCTGTGACTCCTACTCGACAGACCTACAGATCAAACCCCTACCACTACACAGACCTACGACAGACAACAACAACTGTCAAAACACAGGTCACAGGTTCAAACACTCGGGGTCGACACAGATACTGTACACCGGTAAGGTGAGAACTAGGGATCGAGCCCTGGGATCTGCATTCGCTACTGCTAAAAGGTGAAAACCGTTTCACTACCATCTCTTTGGCTGAAATGGAATGGAAAGATGGCTTGTATACATTCGTTATCGGGGTGTGTTGCATTTGGGGGAAGACTACGCACCCTCATAGTGAATGTAAACAAGCGATCTTTTCGGTCTGATACAGAAATAATGAGGGTGCGTTGTGTTGTGCCGCCCATGCGAAAACATGGAAAATAGAAAAGGGAAAAAGAAAAAATAAGGAAAACAAAAAACAACACAAAAGCAGTACTGCAATGATCAAACACAGCCTGTCTTTTGAACCTCAGGTCCAAAAGACAGAGGCCGGTACAAGTACCCAGAGATTTTTCTTTTCTACCAGGTACTGCAGCAGGCAGGCTCGGGAATAGGCAACTTTTGCTTCATCAACTTAGGCTCGGATGGACTGGTGGTTTAAGAAGCGGCATTTACACACCAAATGCAGTCAATGGAAACCACAAGCATTTCAAGCCTGGATTCGGGCTTCAACTGCCATCATTCACATGTAAACTTTCATGAATGCAAGTTTGTTGTCTGCGACTCAAATTCAATGATATATGTACCATACTGGAAAGACATCCAAAAGCAAACTCGGAAAATATAGAGTGAACTCGAGACACCAAAAATGGAGATCCTCAAGTAGTTTCCCCGGGCAGCAAGTGACTGTTAATCGGGGATCAGAGAGGTGCAGTTTGATCAGCATTTCCTAGACAGTTCTTCAACTGCAGGCCGATCAAAATTAACAGCAAGACTACACCCAAATAAGCTACTACATGGCTATTGCATACGACAGACAGACGTCGGTTTTTGCAATTCTGCAGAAAGATTACAGGATGCAAGACACCCATTCTCACACTCCGCTGAGGATATGCTCACCAGTAGAGAGTGGGGGCCACACTCCTAGTGTCAGCACTCAATGTCAGCCAGTAAAATCCAAGAATCCACCATGCAAAGGAAAACATGGTGTTCGCCGACTCCATCCGCTTCGCACAACTGCACATAGAAACAAGCAGGGGAAAAGGGCATTTCAATCCAAAGACAATAAGTGTTACATGCCCAGTCGGGCGATGAATACAATAACCGAGGATCCGCAATGTGATGAAAAGGACTGAATGGACAATGCAGTGCCAGTAGAATCTCA